TTGGAAAGCACCAGGATGTGATGGCATAGTAAACTTTTGGCTAAAATACCTGCCAGCAATTCATGAAGATCTGACATATGCTTATAACAGACTTATAGAAAATCCTGAAGAATGTCCCAATTGGTTAACAACTGGTATTACGTATCTTCTTCCAAAAAATGAAGAAACCATCAACCCTAAAAATTATCGGCCAATCACTTGCCTCCCTACAATGTATAAAATCTTAACATCAATATTAACATCTAGAACTTATGATCATATGGTGGAGAATAACCTGATGCCTCTAGAACAAAAAGGATGTAGAAAAGGAAGTTATGGGTGCAAAGATCAGTTGCTTATAAATAAGGCCATAATGGAAGAAATAAAATCCAGAAAGAAAAATCTGTCAACAGCTTGGATTGATTACAAAAAAGCATTTGATTCTGTTCCCCATAGCTGGATCATGAAGTGTCTTGAAATTTATAAAGTCTCCCCTATTTTGATTAATTTTATCAGAAACAACATGTCACAATGGAAAACAACCCTAAACCTCAATCACAGTGAGGGAGTATTAACATCCAGACAAATTAATATAAAAAGCGGGATTTTCCAAGGTGATTCTCTTTCACCACTTCTCTTTTGTATTGCTCTTACCCCATTATCCTCACTCTTGAATAAAAGTAGACATGGTTACAAGTCTGGCAACAAAGTTATCAATCATTTATTCTATATGGATGATTTAAAAACTTATGCGAAAAATGATGATGAACAAACAGGCCTACTTACTATCGTTAAAGGCTTTAGTGATGACATCAAAATGGAATTTGGCCTTGACAAATGTGCCAAAGCAACTTTTAAACGAGGTAAATTGGTGAAATCTGAAAACATTGTGATTGATATAAATACAACCATTCAAGATCTTGAACAAGAAGGCACATATAAATATTTAGGAGTAAGTGAAGGTGATGGAATAGAACATTCTAGCATGAAAGAGAAAATCAGAAAGGAATACTATAGACGAATACGACTGTTGCTAAAATCAGAACTAAATGCCACTAACAGAATAAATGCAATCAACACGCTTGCAGTCCCAGTTGTCTCGTACAGCTTCAATATCATTAATTGGAAATTAGAAGATTTAAGAAGACTAGATAGAAAAACTCGAAAGCTGCTGACAACTGCAAAAATGCACCATCCTAAAGCCGATGTCGATAGGCTTTACCTTCCAAGAACATCAGGTGGTAGAGGTCTTATTCAAATTGAGACAAGCTACAAGTTAACCACTATCGGTCTTCACACGTATTTGAACTCCAATGAGGACTGCCTTCTTATGATTGCTAGAGAGCATGAGCAATTGAAGAACACAACATCTGTAGATGTTCAAGCTGCTAAGTTTAAAAGAGAATTCGATGTACCAGATATCGAAAAATTGGACAATGAAGGAGCTACCACCTATGCTCGAAGAACAAAACTTAAAGCTAAAAATCTGGCACTTGAACACTTAAAACATAAATGGGAAGAAAAACCTCTTCATGGTCAGTACCCAAAACGAATTAATGACAAAGATGTGGATCAAGCACAAACGTATGAATGGCTTAGAACATCTGGCCTTAAATCTGAAACAGAAGGGTTTATCATTGCTGCACAAGACCAGTGTATCAAGACCAACTACTATAGGAATAAGATCTTAAAAGATGGAACAGACCCAATGTGTAGGATATGTGGCAAAAACCAAGAGACTATAGACCATCTTGTTTCTGGCTGCTCAGAATTGGCCAAAACAGAGTATATTCATAGGCATAACAAAGCAGCAGCATACCTCCATTGGGCAATTTGTAAGCACTATAATATTGAGGTCAAAGATAAGTATTATGAACATGAACCATCAACTGTAGAAGACAATGAAGAAGCTACTATACTGTGGGATATGCCAATACAAACTGACAGGGAAATAAAGGCCAATAGACCCGATATAGTAGTGAAGAATAAGAAAGAGAAAACCTGCTTGCTTATTGATATGTCTATTCCAACTGAGAGAAACACCTCCGTAAAAACATCAGAAAAATTATCCAAATACAAAGATCTTGAAATAGAAATTCAAAGAATGTGGGGTATGAAGACCACAACAATACCTGTGGTAATAGGTGCTCTCGGTCTAATCAAGAACGGGATGGAAAAATATGTCAAGCAGATCCCAGGTAACATCAGGGTACAGGAAATACAGAAGGTTGCTCTCCTTGGCACTGCTCATATAATAAGGAGGGCACTGTCAATCAAATAAACCATACACCCCCTCATAGATGCCCCAAGTCCAGGGTATTGGACTCGGCATCATGAGTGAATAGAGCAAAATAATTAAGAGATATAAAATAATAATAATAATAATAATAATAATAATAATAATAATAATAATAATAATAATAATAATAATAATAATAATGATAATAATAATAATAATAATAATCTAAGCTTATAAAGCGCTTATAAAACTTTTTCTAAGCGCAAATAAAAAGGTAAAAATTAAGATATTAAGAAAGTTAAAATAGAGTTACAGATCATAAGTTTGTTTAAAAAGGAAGGTTTTGAGAGCGGCATTGGTTTTCTCAAAAGACCTTGCCTCGAATACTATTTATTCATTAATCATACTGACTGAAATATAACATAAATCATGTCCTTTTAGAGCATTCAATACTATTTGTGATGATTAGAAGAGCCATATTTTATCATGAAAACAAACTGGTGATCAAACGCAAGTAAGAGCTGTACAGTTATATAACGTCTTATTTCTTTCTCTAGAAATCAAACTTATCACCGCCATGGATGTGAGGATTTCAAAACTTTTCATTAGGTTTTGTGTGTCGTATGCATATCATCGTGGTGATCTTAATCTTACACGGACAAAAAGACGAGAACTGATCTCCTTATTAGATGAATGTTTGACGATGGCTTTTTTCCTAAATGATTCCGAGACGCTTCGCCTCATTTATTCTGCACTTGACCGTCTCGACCATCGTATATCAGCTAAGATAACCAATAATTTCCAGAACTTTCATGGCCTTATTACTGCCGGTAAAGGCAACCATGCTCTAGAGATGTATGCTAACCTACATTCAGGGAATGCGTATTACTCCTTAGGAGAATACCACAAGGCGATTGAAAATTACGAAAAGACCCTAGCCATTGCTAAAGAGATTAGTGACAGACAAGTAGAAGGAGCTGCTTATGGAAATTTAGGGGTTGTCTATCAATCATTTGGAGAATATCACAAAGCGATCGAATATTACGAAAAGGGACTGAGCATAGCTAAAGAGATTGGTGACAGGAAAGGAGAAAGAACTGCTTATGGAAATTTAGGGATTGCCTTTAATTCATTAGGAGAATACCACAAGGCGATTGAATATCACGAAAAGAAACTGAGCATAGCTAAAGAGATTGGTGACAGACATGGAGAAGGAACTGCTTATGGAAATTTAGGGGTTGCCTTTAATTC